ATTTATTTCTAGAGAGACACAGGGCTGACTCTTGGACCCCGTTCTATCTATATCCTGTCTAGATTATCTCGTTCAGTCTCTTGCCTTTAAATACTATCCAGACGCTGATGGGCTCCAAATGTATGTCCCCTGCCCAGATGTCTCTTCTGGACTCCAGACCCACCTAGCCAGCCATCTAACCTGATTTCTCCATTCGGAATCCTAAGGGGCATCTCAGACCCAACGGGGGACACCAAGATGGTGCGCTCGCGTTTTCTCCCCCACGTCTTCCTCCCTCTCCCAGTCTCTTCAGCTCAGGAAACAGTTGGATCATTTGAGCAGTGGCTCAAACCCAGAAAACTCAACAGTAAGCTTCAATTCCTCCCTTATCCGCAGGCCCACCAGGTGGTCCATCACCGTGTCCGTTATCTCCAGAAAGCTCTCAAATCAGTCACCTTCTCCCCATCTCTTCTATCCCGTCCTGGCGCAAGCCATTTCCTACCTGGCTTACCACAGGCCCTTGACTGTGCTTCTGCCCTTCCCTCCCCAGCCCACCCTCATTCCCACCTCCAGCATGAGCCTCTGCCCACCTCTGCTCAGACCCTCGCTCTTAGAGCCAAGATCCACTGCTCTTAGAACAAAACACATACTCTTGACCATGACCTGGAGCGATCTCAGCATTGCCTGCTTTTCCAAACTCACTTTATGCGCTGCCCCCCCCCCCCCACACACACACATTCCTGCTGGCTCCTACTTGGCCTTAGCAAGCCTTCCCGTAGCCCTCGGCCTTCTGATAGCTCTTCATCCAACCGGTTCATTCTTGTTCTTGGGGCCTTGGCTCCACCATTAGCTCAACTGTCCCATCCTTGGAGGGCTTTCCTCGTCTAGTCCATTGGAACGAGCTTCTCCAAGGAGTCCCAGTTCATGAGCGTATTCCATTTCTTTGGTACCTGTCGCTGTGAGTGTTTATACTGCTTGTGGATGTGGTACTTCCTTCTTTCACACACTTACCAGTGTGGGATCCCCTCACGTTGCACGTCTGGGGACATATGGTGAACCAAAATTCTGTGTGCCCTGGAGATGACGTTCAAATGGAGAAGAGAGACAGCAAGACAAAAAGTGAAGAGTCAATTTAATGCCAGGTAATGAGCATGCTGTGATGAGGAACGGGGAAGCAAGTTGAGACAGATGAAACAAACAGCGGGCAATGGAAGGTTCTGGAAGGATGAATTACTGGAAAGAAAGCATCCCAAATAATGGGCAATCGGTGTTTCATGCAGATCAGTTTTGAAGAAATAAGCTATTTCTTTAGAAAATGAATTTTGAGCCCTATCTCATGGCATAAATTCCAGGAGGATTAAAAGTTAAGTGTGCAAATGAAACCATCAACTACATTGATGGTTTACTTGTGGATGGGGGAAGAACAGCCAAGTCTAAAAGTGTGGAAAGAAACTCCACGAGATGATTGACAGGCTACACGTAACTTATTATTAGCGGACAAAATTATTATTCGGGGACCAAATCTATTGGGGGACCAAAAGAAAATCAGGAAATAAAGAAGTGGATAAATTGAGGGAAATACTTATGGTAAATGAGAATAATAAAAAGCTAATAATATTAATATAGCACATGCCCTCAATTGTAAAGTTCTTCTTTCCTTGCCTTTTAATATTACTTGAAATTAGAATGTTTTTCATCCACTGTATATATTTAATATGGCTGTTAAAACATTAAATCAGCGGTATATCTGACAAGTAATAACATCTTAGAATCAGAATGCAACTTTTTAGCATTCATGAAAATTAATATGGACATGAAAGTTCCTAGTAGAAAATACTTCATTCCTTCAACAAATACTTGAGTGTTTCTGAGGGGTGAGGTGGCCGGTATAGAGTGGTAAACAAAAGAGACACAAATCCTTGCTTTGAAGTGCCTCCTCCAGGCTGGTCACTGGTTCCCTGTACACTACATCCATGTGAGATCAGCCGGGTTATTTCAGTGAGAATGAGCACCTGGGCCGACACCACGCAGTATAAGTGATGGGAGCACGTCCCCTCAAGTCTGTGTGCGTTTAAACCCTGTGCACTTTCTTCAAATTACCGTAATTGTTGAGCTAAGTGGAGTGTTCACACTCAGTCTTGCTGACCGAGCCGTCATTCCCCGCAACCCTCCACCCCCTCCCCCGCCTCTCACCTGCTTCAGCCCTGTCTTTAGGACTCCGTCAGGGACCTGTTGGTGGAACAAGAAAGCATTGCAGTGGTGTCCCAGGCAGGGCAGACGTCTTTTTAGCCAAGAGTAGTATTTTGCCAACAAGACACGCAAAGAGTCTAGTCCTAAGTTGTTTAGGTGCCCTCCTGTATGCCTTTTCACCCTATGCTAAATAATGGCTATCACTTTTAAGTGTCAACAAATGTTTTGGCGATAAAAATCTAAACCATTTGCGGTCATAGATGTTGGGAAAGACAGGGAGGAAAAAGACCGAACCATACGCTGATCTCAGTGTCTTCAAGAAACGTACTTAGACGTTGTCCTAAGCTGGGGTCTCTGGGAGCGGAACCGGTGTTGGGGAATTCTCGGGCAAGTGAAGTGTTGCAGGGAGAGGGGAGAGTTGGGTGGTGGGGAGAAGTTAAGTGAGGATCTGGTCTCTCCTGGAAACTTGCTTCCTCCTGGTCCCCCAGGGAGCTCTGGAGTGTGGATTGTACCAGAGCAGCCTGACCCTGAGGCAGGGAGCTGATCTTCTATACCCCTGTGTCAGCCAGCCCCTGGCTGTGTGCGTCCTGGGGCTCAGGTGTGGCTTAACCAACCCAAAGTGGCTGGGGACAAATTTCTCTGAGGAGGAGGCAGCTGTGAGCCATTAGTGGCCAACTCCCGCCTGGCACCTGGGGAATGGTGCCCAGTAGAGGGTCTGCGTGGGACACCAACAGCATCCACTGCATAAGGTCCAAAAAAATTAGTTTGGAAGATTATCCAGGGATGGGTTTTGACACATGACAGGACCCTCTGACTAGAGGTGCCTGTTGAACACAGGATTTATTACCAAGGAGCTTCTTGGTTTTTATTTTGCTTTAGGGGATTCAACTATTAGATCAGCTTTGCTAGAAGGAAAATTTTTTCTAAGGAAGGGACCGTGGCAGGCATGTACCACAAAGGCTAAGAAGGTTCTTTGGGAAATTTTTAAGGTATTATTGGAGAAAAAGGGAGAAGAGGACTAGACATACAACTGGAAACAACTATCAAAAACTAGCTTATAATATACCAACTTTGTCAGAACAATGATCTAAATTCCTACAGCTATTAGTTATTTTTCTTCTAGGTTTTTCTAAAACCATTTTACACATTGGTGTTTTGCTATTCATTTTTTTTTTTTTTTTTTTTGCTAGCAGTGCTTTGCGTGGAATGTTCAACTATATAATGATGGATACATTGTCAAATATATTTGTCAAAATATATTTGTCAAAACCTCTAGAATATACAACCCAAGAGTGAATGCAGACTATGGGCTTTGAGTGATAAAGATGCGTGCTTGTCGACTCATTGACTGTAGAAATGTACCACTCTGGCATGGGATATTGATAGTGGAGAAAGTTGTATGTGTTGGGGCAGAGGGAGTATAGCAACTTTGCACATTCTGCTCCATTTTGCAGCTCTAAAAAATAAAGTCTATTGTTTTGTTCTGATCTCAGCCTATCAATAATAATACCATGGCTCCTAATGCCTTAAGGACCTCACATGGGCCCCGGTGAGCCTCCCTCAGACATGTGCCCCTTTCAAAATCAGTGTTACTACTGGGATGACCCTTGTGGATCTTAGTGTGATTGCAGGACACCCTTCAACAGCAGCCATCAGGAAACTTTGGAAAAAGAAAGGTGTATGACTTATAAGGCCCGGAAGCTGCACAGGACACCTGGGCTACATCAGTGACGTGGGGCGGCGGGGGAGAGCATGTACACACCTGCACAGGCCTGGGATCCTGCTTTTATTGGAGTCAAGGGTGCGGACCCAGAGTTTCACAGGCTTACTCTTTATTGGTGAATTTAAGACATAAGAGCAAGAATTTAAAGCTCTTGGGGGAAGAGACAAGTGGCACAAATGGCCAATTATGAAATCAACCAAGATCTCGAAAACAAAGGAGCCTTAGTGGTGCAGCAGGTAGCCTGGCTCTTTATCAAGTCGCGTGGCTGGCCATGGGTTTATTCATGATAGTTTCTTCGGAAGTGGGTGCCTCTTTGAAATAGTTGTCTGGGCAATCCAAGCTTACTGTCCGTGCTTATACTACATCCTGTTTCTACAAGTCTATGACTACACAGAAAGTCCATTCGAATGCATTTATTGTGATAAGTGATTTCCTTGATCAGTTTCCTGTTCCTAAAGAACAGGTGATGTCCTAACATTGAAAGTTAAAATACAGTAAGAATTGGGCAAATAGCATCCTTCAATTATACAATATATTCCTTCATTGCGTTTTTCATAGCTTTCGCTCTGTGCTGGGAAGGGTACCGACATAGCACATACGTGGTATTTCAGGTTATGGGTGTATGCTCCCATGTACTTGCACACACACACATGCACACATGCATGTGCACACACGCCCCTTCCTTAAAGAAGAAAAAGAAAAAAAAAGAAACCATCACCCACTCCACACGAAGCATCTGACTCATTTCTAGAATGCCTGTTGCTGTTATAGAAATTCAGCCCACAAATAAAATTTAACATGCTAAGCTTTTAACAACTGCCTAGAATTATTTTCTGGTATTAACATAAAATACTTGCTGGGTTTTTCCTCTAATACTTTCACCCCAATGGGCAGGTGTCTCCCCTTCAAGAAGCTACTTCGAACCAAAGCTAATATGGATGAAAATGAAAACTAATAACTTTTATCAAATTATAGTGAGCTTTACCCTATAAGCTGCTTAGTGTTTCTATAGAAACCTGTCTGCTGAGCTTTTATCTTGGAGGCATGAGTCCCTGGAGACGGACGACATTTCTAATGCTGTTTGTGGCCTGTCTTTCCCCCTCCACAGGCCTTGAACCGAGGCATCGCTGCTGTCAAGGAGGATGCAGTGGAAATGCTGGCCAGCTATGGGCTGGCATACTCCCTCATGAAGTTCTTCACGGGTCCCATGAGTGACTTCAAAAATGTGGGGCTGGTGTTTGTGAACAGCAAGCGAGACAGGACCAAAGCCGTCCTGTGCATGGTGGTGGCCGGTGCCATTGCTGCCATCTTTCACACCCTGATAGGTAAGGCTGCTGCAGCCCACGCGAGGTGCTAGCTCTCTCGTTTCTTGTGCCTTTCTGTCCATTGAAATGCATTTATTGTGATAAGTGATTTCCTTGGTAATTACTAAAACATTTGACATGAAAATTTCGAGGGATGAAAGGAATGGGGTTTGTGCTCCTAGTGCAGGAAAAGAAAATGTGTTTTCTTTGGGAAGCTCTACTATTGACTCCCAAGCCCTGTGTTGGAGAAGAAGTGACTTCAGTAAGGTCAACAAAATGGCCCAGGCTTCCTAGAGACACGCATTATGACACAGACTCAAATATAAAAACAGAGTGGCTTTTATTAAGATTGATGCTTATCAGCAGTCAGAACAAATGATCATTTTATGTAGTAAATAAATAAAAGAGATTGTTGTATGTATTAAAGTTAACTTATTTTAGGGGCTCACTAGTCTGTTTTATCCAAAGATGAAACTAAATACTATGGCATAACCTTCTTTCCATGAAAAAATAAGAAAGCTATATCATACGTACAGTGCCCCGCAGAGAGATGGACCAAGACCTTGGAAAAGGACTTCCTCTGGAGCCTCAGTCCTGCTTCTGCTACCTCCTGGGGGGGGCAATAAAACTCTAAGAGCCTGACTTCAGAGCTCCTTGGCTTTAAAACAGCTCAGCTTACTGGGCATGAAAATTGAGTGTCACATCTATTGGGCCCAGTTGCATAAAACCCGTGAAATAACACCTCATAAATCCATTGTGTACCTTCCAAACGGCATCAGCTGTATGAGCTCCGTGAATGTCAGTGGTGAATAAAGGAGCCGGGAAATGAACCCAGACCATTAACGGTGTATTCAGATGGCAGCTAATGGTTGCTCACACAGTCTTGAATCTGAAGGTAAATGCTGTGAGACCCTTTTGGTTTTCCTCTCAAATGTAGCACAAGCTTTTGTGCTGAGAACAGTGTGAAAACTTGAGAGGATGCTACTCATGGGCCAGATTTTCAGCCAAAGTGTTGATATTGATCATTTAATTTGGGCTCAAAGCTTCAGGGCCTGGGGTTGAGAGGAGACGCTCTTCTTCCTTCAGCTCACGCCCTGAATACTAACTTGTGGATGTGCTTTGAAGAAACGTCCTGCAGCTAGATTGGATCTGAGCCACTTTCAAAGATGGTACATGCCTTGGAGAAAATTCCAGACGTGGAATGAGTAGGTCTAGATAAATTTGTGTCAAAATGGGTAAATTAGTTCCCTTTTGCTATCACTCTTTATTTGGATTTCTTAAATAAGCCTTATATTCCCTGTTTTAGTCATAGTTGAATAAGGCTTTGGGACTAATAGCTGGTTACAGGGCGCCAGACGTCACAGAAGGACAAAGCTGAGCGTCCTGTGTCATTGAAACTGGAGTGAGGAACATGTGGTCATCAAGATGAAAACCAGCATCATTTTTCAAGTTCAGTCTAAAATTTTCCATTTTAAAACAATTATAAAATCTTACATGTGTATCAATACGGTTCTACATCCCGGATGGATTTAGCTATCGTTCTAAGCAGACTCTTGGAATTCTAGAAGATCTACCGACCCAAAAGTTTGTGTCTGTTCTCTGTGCACCAGAGCCTGGCTCTCAGTATCCAAACTGCAGGAGCCTTGGGAGTAATTCCGGCTTTTGTTTCTTGGTCTTTGTTGGGTAGCTGCCAATAGTGTCTCATTTTAGCTAAATTGTGGCCACTACTGTCGTTATGGGCTCATCTGTGAGACACCACTTTTTTAAATTGCAGGGCATGGGGTTTGCCAAGACCAAACCTTAATTTAGGCCAGTGGTCAGGATGTAGGTGTGCTCCCACATCCCCCTCTTAATTAATCTGTAAAAGAGGAAACCTTGCTGACCGTACACTTGGTTAATTTGGGTCCAGGTAAATTTCACCTGCGTGAAGGTAGTATTAGCTGCGCACCTAATTCACACACATGGAGAAACCATGGCAGTGGCTGTTTCCTTGGTCTACACAGCTGATTCTCAAGTGACCTGTAAGGCCTCTTCCATGTTCCAGAGCAGCCTGGGCAGTCAGCGTGGCTTAGGGGAGCAAGTTCCGAGGTTCTTCCAGTAACTTCTAGAAGGGGTCCTTTTGTCAGTCTTCCCATCTCCAACAACTTTTTCCATGTTTCACGGGTTATAGACCCATCCTGGAAAGGGTACAAGTTGGTATCACTGAAACTAACAAGGGTGCTAGACAAGGACGGTTTTAGCGTGGTCTCAAAATGTATCGCTCTGTAACAAACCCCCCAATACTCAGTGACTCAAAACACAGCATTTATTCTTGTTCACCAGACTGGGGGCTGGCTAGCCGGTTCTTTTGGACTCACTATGCTCATGCCTCTGTGCTTTGCTGAGAGTCAGGAGGCGGGGCTCCCTGGGGGGCCTTCAGCCAGCAGGGGCTGGGCCAGGTGGCCTCTGCTGGGACAGCTGGGCTCTCTTCCACCAGCCTGAGCTTGTGTGGACAGCTATGGCAATACCCCAAGTGAAAAGATAGAGGCCCACAAGGCCTTATGAGGCCAAGAACTGGAAGTGGCCGCCATCACTGCTGCTGTGCGTGACTGACCAAGACAAATCCCAGGCCAGCCCAGGTTCAAGGCCGTAGGGAAACACACTCCAGTTTGCACCAGAGGTACTATGAAATATTGCAGAGAAGGGATATAAGAAGGAGAGAAGAATCAGGGATATTTTTCAATTGGTCTACCCCAATCACTTTTTTGGGATGATGGATTCATGCCTTTGTTTAATCAATGTATATTGAACACCGACTATGTGGCAAACAGTGGGCAGATCCCGGGAATTCGGATACAGATAAGGCACATTCTCTAGAGAGAAGCAAGATATCATGCAGTAAATTATTACAAAATACCCACTCCATAGAGACTCGACACCAGTGAGATAGCATTTATGTTCTTGTGTTAAAATCTCACATACACTGTACTTACTTTATGCATGGATTTACAATATATTTCCAAGGCCTGGGTGGCGCTTGTTCTTCCCACACCTGTATGTTCCAGATAACAGTTGCACAATGGGGACTCTAGAGGGGTGTCCTATATCTGTATCCCAGCCCCCGTGCCAGTACCCAGCCTCTTCACAGCCGGGTTCGCTGGCGCAGTGCCTTAAGCATAAAAGTTGTTTGACCCTATGTGTGGAAGTGATATAAATATCAGCCATACAAGCACACACACTTTTGAAATGATTCATTAGAAACACGGGAGTCAGGTTACCTGCCTCTGTGAAAAGCCTAGTAGTAAACAGAGAAGTCCGTGGCATAATCAGTAGTACTTTTTTTTTTCTTATTGTTTTTTTTAAAGATTTTATTTATTTATTTATTTATTTGACAGACAGAGATCACAAGTAGGCAGAGAGGCAGGCAGAGAGAGGGTGAAACAGGCTCCCTGCTGAGCAGAGCACCCGATGTGGGGCTCAATCCCAGCACCCTGAGATCATGACCTGAGCCGAAGGCAGAGGCTTAACCCACTGAGCCACCCAGGTGCCCCTCCTTATTATTTTTTTAAATTTAATTTTTATTTTCAGTGTTCCAAGATTCATTGTTTATGCACCACACCCAGTGCTCCATGCAATATGTGCCCTCCATAATGCCCACCACCAGGGTCACAGGAGTACGTTTAAGGCTTTTAAGCATGGGAACTTGGGAATTTGAATGAGAATAAAGGTTCTCAAATCACCTCTTGGAAATGCACATATTATTCTCTTACTGGAATCAGAAGAAGGCTTTCCCCTCAATTCCCAGAGGAAAAGAGGTGTATAGACTTGCCTTGATTAATATTAATATTTCGAGGCATTTTGCAACAGGCGCGGGTAACTACTAGGTGAGCAAGCCTGAGAACCACTCATTCTGGAAAGAGTAGGTCACCCTGATGGGCCCAGGGCAGAAGAGCTGGGCATTTGAATGGCCCTTCTGGTTTCTTCTCGTTTGGGTGGGGTCAAAAGCTGTCAACCTATAAAAAGGTCAGGCCTGTGTCCTCCCTGCTGCGGCCACATCATGAAACCTGTTTACGTCTTGTTCAGAAGCCTTGTTTAATTTTTCTTTTGAGCGTTCTGCCCTTCAGAAGGAATAGGAGCTGTCTCAGAACAGTCGAGGTGGGGCAGTTGATAGAAGTCGATGGTCCCTGAATGTTAGGGCAGCCAGCCTGGTAATCATGGACTCTGTGCAAAGCACTTTCAACAAATTACCCCCAGCCAACAGCTCCAGCCAGAAACAGCTCAAGGACACAGGCGCGGAGGACCAGCTGCAGGCTAGAAAAAGCAAAGCGGGAGGAGAGGCAGAGTCAGAAAGCTGGGCCCACTGAGCTCACCACCCAGCCCTCCTTCAGTCCGTCTTCCTTATCCTCTCGCTTAGAGGCAGTGTTTTTGACATTTTCACTAAAATATTCTAATCATAGGTACACCGAGGTCTATCTGCAGAAGGTAGAGAAGCAGATATGTATCGATCTCTGTGCCGTCCGGGGCCTCACAAGCAGATGGCACGCCGGGCTCTCAGCTGCTCAGACTCGTGGGTCCCAGAGTCTCCCGGGAAAACAGTTCTCCCGTTCTCAGAAACCGCCTGTGTGACTCTGCTGGGCTTGTGCTAATGGTGCACCACAGACTGGGAGCTGAGACAACGGAAATGTATCATCTCCCAGGGTTGGAGGCTGGACGATCAAGCTGTCAGTGGGTTGCTGCCCACCCCGGGACTCTCTGGGAGCTTCTGTGGCTTGCTGGCAACCTTGAGCCTTTCCTGGGTGTGCGGACGCATTCCCCCCCATCTCTGCCTTCACATCCACGAGGCGTTCTCCTCGTGTGTGTCCACCTCTTGGTCCAGATTTCCCCTTCTTAAAAGGATCCCAGTTATATCGGATTGGGGGCCCACGCTGCTCCAGTGTGACCTCATCTTTCCTAATTAGAGCTGCAATGACCCTGTCACCGAAGAAGGTCACATTCTGCCGTCCCCAAGGACAGGGATCACTCATCCTGTCTCACCTCTAGATCTCGGCCTTCCCTGCTTTCAGAGTCCGTCAAGTTCACTCCGTGGCCTTGTCTGTGGGCTCTAACCTTGACACTGGAATTTCAGCCCATGAGCTATTCCTGGCCGCCCGGCTCTCGCCCCTGGCATGGCATTGCGCGTCTCAGCCAGCTCGGCTGCCTTGACCTGCCAGCAGCTTCTGTCTGTGAGGGTGGGACAGTCTTTGGGCCGGGGCTGAGTGTCCCCTGGCAGGTCCCCAACTGAATGAAATGAATGTACACGTGATCAGCAGCAACAATAAACTCTGAGACAAAACCTGTAGGTTTCAGTGTCCCAAGTACACCGTTCACCCGCTTAAGGAACATCTTCACCAGGGCCTTGAGTTTCCATCTGTCTGCTTTCCCTGGGTCTGCGCGCCTTGCACCTGGCAGAGAAGGCAGGCTGTGGGGCTCCCGCCCTGCCCCTGCCCTGAGCCTTCCAGGGTCAGGTCAGGCTTTCTCTAATCTGCTCATCTAATCTAATCCGTGTGCCCTCGGATCCCAACGTGGACCTCACAGCTGTATCCTGCCCTGCTTGTCCCACCTTCCCAGGTCTTTGCTCTTTCTGCCCTGGGACACGCTCCCTCCCGGATTTCCCTTCTTGCTGCCTCAGTGGCTCAGCTGGCCCCACCACGCCCCAGACCTGACATGTTTGCTCCCCTGGCGGCTCACTTTTTGGTTCTCCCCCTGCCCCTCCTTAGAGGGCCTCGACCTCTCCTCCTGCATTTGCCTCCCCCATTCCCCCGTTCTCTGAATGTCCTACCCGTTCCATACCCCCACGCCTCGAAATCACTTTACTTCCCCATCTGGGATTCCCACTTGTGCATGTAAATATCCATGAAATCATACAGAAGACTTGACTTCAAGTTCTCATGAGGCAGGACTAATCCACCAAAAAGGAGTGGAAGCTTCTTTCTTTACTATCGGTTTCTTCTTATCAGTTCATAGGGGTCCAAGTCATCCCCCAAACTTTGAAGTGGAGAGAAGGATCTTAATATTCACCTAAAATGAGACTCTCGCTGCGTTCTGTCTCCGTTCTGATTTCAAAGCAGCTTTATAGTTGTCCACTGCATTAATATTCGTATTTATAGAAAAATGAAAACAGCAGGAACGGTGCTGTTAAACCACCATGTACAACGGTATGAAAACACAAAGATTATTGGTTTTCGATATAGTCTAATCATCTATCAATGAGGTGAAAATCTCTCAGTTTATGTCATCTTTGCTAACAGCACCTGCCAGAGTGCCCAGCTGATCCACTAGAAAGACCTTCCTCTTCCTTCCTTTATATCCTTGTGCAGCGGCCGATTCTTTCAGTCTCTGTCACTTCAGCACCAGCACACTCCTCCCAAAAGGTGAAACAAAACAAATCGCAAGCCGTGAAAAGGCTTTCCATCTTTTTGTTGAAAAGACACATCAACAGGGGCACCCGGGGGGCACCGATGGTTAAGCATCCGACTCTTGGTTTTGGCTCCGGGCATGATCCCAGGGTCGTGAGACTGAGCCCTGTGTCAGGTTCTGCACTCGGTGGGGAGTCTGCTTGACATCCTCTCCCTCTCCCTCTTCCCATTCCTCTCCTGAAAAAAGAAAACAAAAAAGGGGAAAGAAAAGAAAAAGAAAGGGCGTATCAACATCTGGGAATTTCCTCTTAGTCAATAAGTACTACTCCATATAAACATTTAGCTTCCAAATGATCCATCAAGCGCCCTTTCATGATGTCAAGTTAATGGACGCATCCTAAATGCATAATAGGAGATTGAGTAATTGATGCTGAGTAAACCTACAAAAAGGAATTCATTGCAACCATTAAAGGGTGGGAACAAATCAGGGAAAGATGGTCATGGTTTACAAAAGAATATATATACGGAATGATCCCATGTTCATGTTAAAACACACACGCGTACCCCACGCACGCATCCACCACACACATCCCCATAAAAGATCTGGGCTCTTAGAACCCAGAGCATTCACCAGGACCCCCTCTGAGCAGAGGGATAAGATTGGACATGACCTTTTTTCCATTTGCTCATCTAATTTTCTCATTTTTCTACACCAAAAAAAAAAAGAAAGAAAGAAACCCAAATATTACATCTAACATTGTTTTTGCACTTTTGAGATAAAAAGCTTAAAAGATAACTTTTTCTAAATATTGCTCTGTATGTTTTTTGGCCCTTTGCAGCTTATAGTGACTTAGGCTACTACATTATCAATAAACTGCACCATGTGGATGAGTCTGTGGGCAGCAAAACGAGGCGGGCCTTCCTGTATCTCGCTGCCTTCCCTTTTATGGATGCAATGGTGAGTAACTGTGGACACTTCTTAAAAAAAAAAAAAAAAGACGGTGCACTTAACATAAAATTTACCATTTTAGCCGTAGACCCCATTTGGTTCATCCATTCCTCCAACAGGGGACACCTGGGTGATTTCTACCTTTTGGCTATTTCTATAATGGGTTATGAACATGGGTATACAATACCTCCTTGAGCTCCCTGTTTTAACCCTTTTCGGGTAGATAGCCAGAAGTAAAATTGCTGGATTATATCATAATTCTATGTTTAATTTTTGAGGGACCCTCATCCTGATCTCCATGGCAGCTCTATCATTTTTTATGCCCACCAGCAGTACAGAAGGGTTCGAGCTGGCCACAGACTTGTAACCAGCCCATCTTGGCCGTTTATTTGATGAGAATCATTGTACTTGCCACAAAGTTCTAGCGAGAGGCAAGAGAGCCTATTTGAAAGCTGTATTTAAATATAAAGTTCTTTCCTGATATAGTCAGGATCAAGGGATCAGGACAGCTTTCTGATAAACTCACCATTTGTGTGGCTTAAGCACCCAAAAGCGTTTTAGAATGAGAATCTCTGGAAAATATGGATAGGCTTTCATGACTTTAATAACCAGCTTTACTACATTACTAAGGGTGGCTCACTTCATAGACAAAATTCTTTGTCATGATACGGGAGAGTTCTCAGAGAATGCTTTTTCTCTATTCCTCTGTGCTATTGAGAATTATAAAAGAGATTTAGCCAAAATAAAATATATATGTATATACACACACACACACACATCTTCAGTAATGTCCAATGCTGGGAAATAAACCTCTTCTTTGGATTCCATTTTAAATTATTTTGGGGGGGAGACTTAAAAATATGTTCATCTGTATAGTTTTTCAGTGCCCCGCCCCTCAAGTTTCACATACTGTAGATGCGTGAGGTAAATGGGCGTCCACAGTGAGGTGAGGCCAAGCCCCACATCTTTGGAGGAATGAGCCAAGGTCAGCTACGTGTGGTCCACCTTCTCCGATGGTATCAGGAGTGCTATACCGCCTGCAGTTAGCTTATGGACGTGGCCTCATGGAATCTCTGACCGTTTCCCACCAGTCTGCACGGTGACCTTGAACTCACAGTTTTCACACCAAGGCTCTGATTGTCAGTTGGTGTGGCGGCAGCGTCGGTGGGAGAATTGGGCCATCGGAGCATTGGTACCTGGATTTTCTTTTTCTTACTTATCACCAAGTAAGAAATTTACTCTGTATTTACACTGGCAGTTGACACGTACTCCAAAAAAAAAAAAGACAAAGAGGTTGGATTTCCTAGAACTGGATTCCCTAACGGTGCCCCATGCTGACCTAAGGGGGCCCCATAGTGCTTGGAATCAGGAAACAGTAGAAGCCCAACTTCCTAGACAGAGGCCCAATACTGCTCTGAGGCCTGCCCCCATCTGTATGGGGATTCTGTGGACACACAGAAGAATTACGGTGATACGTGAATTCAGGGACTCAGGACTAAAAGTGAATCCGTGTGCCCTATGTTCCATTTCCCTTCAGCTGTATTTCTTTGCTGTGAGAGAGTTTCTAAAACTCAGCATAACACCAGAACATTGGGGATTAACACCCTTTACTTTCCTGTTTCATCATCAACGGCCCCCAAAGACCCAGCAGTAAGAGACCATTCGTGAAAAACAAAATAATGAACATTGATAAAAAGCCAGGTCATCTTCCCAGGCACACACCCCTGCACACCTACACCTGGTTAGAGAGAGAATGTTTGAAAACCACAAAGCTTATCATCCCGATGGCTTCGGTCAACCAAGGGGGCCCACAAGCCACTGTTTGCAAATGTTATCGACAATTGGCGTCTCTTTCCACATCTAGCACCTCGAGACCTGTGAGCTGAGGGAGGAAGTAGATGGGGCAGCTACTGTACAGAGTCCCGACACAGACCTCGGGAATAAATCGTATTTGTCTGATGGCGAGAAGCTCGCACGAAATGTTACTGCCGTGTCAGTCCACATTGGCCTTTCCGGGTCAGAAGGGTGATGCTCACACAGATTCTGCCTTGGACTTCAGACCTCCAAACTCACCGGCCCCCCAGGCTTTCCATCATCTGCTCCCCCCGAGAACCTTCCTCTTCATCTCCCTCAGAGGCAAAGTGTCAGATCAGATCCTGCCCCAACTTGAAGAGAAGGAAAGAGTAGAGCCCTCATGGTTTGATGAGAACCTATAATGACTATAATAACTCAGAACCGAACTGGAGCCCTCGTTATGACACGCCTCGCAGAGGGTGAATGTTTCTGCCTTGTCATTCCGGCTGCCCCAGAGAGAGAGGGTGTTTCCTCTGTTCTTGGTATCCATCTAGCTTCCCTGCCAGGAAAGCTAGTGAGTGCCCTGGTCTGCCTTATCACCTGTACTAAGTAAATCCTGTGCAGTCACTGATTCCACTTAGAAATCTAACGCGGACCTAGCCACCAGGCCAAGTTATGGTCATTTGACCAACGGAAGGTTTGTCCTGTGCTCCGAAGGTTCTGGGGTGGGGGTGGGGGGTTGTAAAAGTCTATTTCCGGATTGCCCAGTAAATCCTAACGGCCAGAAGTCATCCGATCCCAACGGTGTCTCTCATGCCAAATTCTATTCATCCCGGCAGGCGTGGACCCATGCTGGCATTCTCCTCAAACACAAATACAGTTTCCTGGTGGGATGTGCCTCGATCTCTGATGTCATCGCTCAGGTAAGTACAGTCTGTGTGTCTGTCGGAGCTCCCCGGAGCCCCCTCCTGCCTCACTGACGTGCATTCCCTCTGAGGGGCCTTCCTGCCTTACTCCAGCTGAACGTGGACGTCAGGGAAGGTGTGTTGAACAAGTGGGAGCATGAGACCTCTTGTAGGAGATGCACGTCTAATCCTGCGAGAAGGAGGGTGGTAGGAATTGACATTCAGCGTCAGATGTGTGGGCCCTTAGGCTTACAGATCTCGCCTGTGAAATGACCATCGGGTCCCAGCACACATGTGTCTGGTGGTCAGTGGGTCACAGCTGGGGGCACAGTTGGTCCTCCGTGTGGCCTCCCAATACCATGGTCTGTCCCTTGGCTCTAGAGGGAGCTCTTGGGAATTCTTCTTCCATGTTGTTTCTAGTGTAGATGCCACACATGGCTGCCATTCATGCATCATTAGCCAACATTTCACAAGAGCCAGGAGGCTGGACGTGCTCTGAGAAGAAGGCCGATGTTGCCCTTTCTGTGGAGCCCGGCTCTGGCACCAGCCCCAGCTCTCCACGTTACTTCCTTTCTTCTGCCACTCAGGATACTGCATGAAAAATTTCAGCAGAATATTAGATTTAATTCCCGTAATCTATAAATTAGCCCTAGTTCCTACAATCAGGGGTTCGGGAGAACCGTTTCTTCACAGAGGAGGGGGGATGGGCTTATTTTTAAGCTCCTTTTCTAGTTCTCGGTTCCATTCTATCAGCATTTCCATGCATTTCTGCCTGGTTTCCCCCCATCATACAAGCTAGTCTGGTGGCCACCTTTTTGAAATAATCTACTGTCAAACCATTAGTACCTCCCTAAAGACCAACAATTACATTTCCAAATTAATTGCATTTACTCCAAGAATCACTATTGAAAGTAATTTAAATTAATTCCTGTTAATACTGTGTGTGTGTGTGTGTGTGTGTGTGTGTTTGCTCACACATGCGTATGCCTGGACACTCGCTCACGTCCTCTCTGGATATAGTTTTGTTAATTTTTTTTGTGAGTTATTAGAGATTTTTGTCCTGATCTTACTTTTATTCATCCTCTGAGAGATGAACTAAACTGCCTTATTCACTCTAATCAGTTAATTTGAAATTAAGGCCGCACCTCTCTTTTCCAACATTGGTATCAGCAACTCAGGGAATATTTATAGATGTGTGTTTTCTTAAGGGCAAACAAACAAAACACAACTTCACTTTGCCGGAGATAAATATAGTGAGCATCTAGGAGTAGAAGGGAAAACCAGATCCCTGAAAAATGCTTTGCCAGCACGCCTACGGCCATTTTCCTTCTCAGTTTGAAACCCCGTCCTGGCCGGTGCCTGCTGGGAGGGCTCGTAAGTGCAGAATGATCAGATCTGGTTGGGAAGAGAGACGGGAGCTAGATTCAGATGCCATCTGGCCCCGAGCTATTCCTGGTGAAGTAGTTATTTTAAACCTTGTAGTTTGAAAGTTTGGAGGAATAAATGCAATGTTCGTTCCTAAGTCTTTTATTACCCCTGCTCCCCCACCCCCAGTTTTAGTCCTCTGTTTCTTGAAAGCATTTTGTTAAATACCGAACTTGTGAGTAGATAGGTCTCAGGCAAAGTCCTCTGCAAATACCACCTTGGCATAGAGAGATAGCAAGTTATCGCCAATGGTAAAATGAAAGTAGCTTATAATGCCTAGCCTTTCAGTGGCAACTCCCATTTTTTAAGAGTTTACTATGCTGGGATGCCTGAGTGGTTCAGTCTGTTGAGTGTCTGACTCTTGGTTTCAGCCCAGATCTTGATCTCAGGGTCGTGGGATCGAGCCCAGCCTTGGGCTCTGCTTGTCCCTCTGCCTCTCCTCCAGCTCTTGCCTGCTCCTCTCTCTCTCAAATAAATAAATACATCAAATCTTTAAAAAATATTTTACTAAGCTAATTGATCTCTCACCATAGTACAAGAAAGCTCTCTTGGTTTGGTTTATCCATGCAATAATGCTTTTCTGTGCCACCATTACTGTCAGTAACGCTGTGCCCTGGGGGCACCTGGGTGGCTCAGTCGGTTAAGCATCTGCCTTCGACTCAGGTCATGATCCCAGAGTCCTGGGATCGAGCCCTGCATGGGGCTCCTTGCTCGGCAGGGAGCCTGCTTCTCCATCTCCTTCTCCCTCTGCTGCTCCCCCTGCTCGTGCTCCCTCTCTCACTCTGTCAAATAAACAAAACCTTTAAAAATAAAATAGTGCTACATTCCAATATATTGCCAAAGAATTTATGAAGAATATTGCTGTTTCTGTTGTATTTCACAATCACCTGGTCAATATTTGCTCAGCATCAGCAGGAGCGATCTCAGGGCGTTGCTGGATCTTACTGTGACCTCCTGTCCTAGCCCTTGCCTCCTGACTCAGCCCAGCGCCCCAAACCGGAGGCCACCCTTCCAGCTCAGCAGCGTTGCTGCAGTCCTGTCAGTCCCTTGGCTCGCTGTCTTTTCATCTCAGCCTCCTGGCAAGGCCTCACTCCTGAATCCCCCTGCAATACACCTTTCACCACCTGCGCCCAGAAAGTCAAGCAGCTGATGGAACCATGAATCCACGCTCATCACTCACCGCAGCTGACCCAGTAGCTTCGTCAGAGGGTCCCTCCGCTCCTCCCTCTTCCCAGTAGACGAGCTCCCTTCCCACTTCCACGAGAAAGTTGAAGCCACCGAATTCTTCACCTTCTGGCCACCAGACCTACAAGCCTGCCTCCAAACCCCGCGTCATCTGCGTTTTCCCCCCATTCTGGGAAACGAGGCTCCCCCGCCTTCTCTGGTCCAGAGAAGGCTTCCACCTGCGCTTTCTCAAGAAGGGGGTCCAGCCGGCTCTCTCGACCTGTTGTCTCTCCCCTGGGTCATTTCCCCTGACACGTGAACGTGCTCACCCACCTGCCGTGTTAACACAACCACAAGGGCAGCTTTTTCGTGCTCCCGTGTGCCGCTCGGGCTCCAGTTCTGTTACTTCCCAGCCAGACTTTCAGGAAGGGGGTTTTTGCTCACTGTCTCCATTTATTTTCTACTTCTGTCCTTTTACCACCTCCAAGTCGGCTCCCCGGGGGGGTGGGGGGGAGGTCTTGCCAATGACCTCTGTGTCACTTGATCCACGGGACGGTTCCGTCAACTTTCTGGCCGTCTCTTCATTCCCTTCACTGCTCCCTCCTGCACAAAACGCGGCCTCGCTCTGGAGCTCAGCACTGCTCTGTCTCCTCCTCCTGGAGGCCCCTCCTCTCCAGATGTGAAGATGTGGACGTTCCTCGAGGCTTTCTCTCTCCTTGCTGTGTTCTGTTGGAGAAGAACCTAATTCGCGCCCTAGGTCTGTACCATCTCTAACAGGACCAACGGTTCCCCAATCAGCCGCGCCCTGTCCTCTGAGCGCCAGACAACATATCTAGACGCCTGTCGGATCCTCGGCGTCCCCCCAAGCGGGGGCGCCGAGGATACCTTCATACCTTCTCTATCAAGTGTTTCGGTTTTGAGCAAACCCGTGGCACTGTCATCGGGTCAGAAGCCTGGGGACCATCCTCTTCATCACCAGGCCTTTTCGATTTTAATCCCAGGTGTATCTTTGATGTGCCCTCTTCTCCCCATTTCTGCCCCCTCGCCCGGGTCCGAAAGAGCCCCCATCCGGCCCGGACCGCTAGAGAGGTCTCCTGACTGGCCTCTGCTCTGGCCCGCCCCTCCTTCTTTCCTTCCGTCCCCCCCTCTGCGGCCACAGTGATCTCCTCTTGGAAATTCTGGCCACGCTGCTCAGAAGCTGCTTTAAACATTGCTTCCCGGGGTTCCTGGGATAAACAGTCAAAATCCCGGTCATGGCGACAACGTTCAAGACCCTTGGACCGTGCTTCCTCGCCGGCCTGGCACTCTTCTCTCGTCCCCTCGCTCCTGCCACCCCCACCACGGACACACCATTTAGGGCCCTGGTGTGGCAGAGGACCCTTTCATGGGGCTCTTTGCTTCGGCCCCTCTGCCCAGGAGGACTTGCTCTGCCTCATGTCCTCGTACCTGCCACGGACTCCTGCCACTCCTGCCACACCCTGCTGAGGCTGTAGGTCTCAATTCAGGTGGCACCCAAGGGGATGCCCTCCCTCGAAGCAGCCAGGCCATCCCAGCAAAGCCTCGCTGCCTCCACCCCCTCAATGGACACTCCTCAGCATCCCTGTCTGGTTCACATCCCCACTCCTGCACTGGACTGTCAGCTCCCGAAGGAGAGTCTGCGACGATCTTGTTTATCTCTGGGCTCTCGGGCACTGCAGACGGGGCCTGTGCAGAACACTCTCCTGGGGAAAATCCTTACCAAGGAGAGTAGGTTCCTGCTCGGAAAATGACCTGATGTTTCTGGTGGTAATATCAGATTCAACATCATAATTCTGGACTGAAATGCAGAAGACCCCATGTTATTTTTAATTGATGAGTAGTACAGTCCACAGTGACAGTGGAAGCTCTGTGATGGGTGCTGGGCCTCACGGCATCGAGCTGTTAAATGGGGAGCTGGGTGAGAGCCACTGGCCCAGGGCATCCCCCTCCTTCGGTCCTGCATAGCCCACCCCCTTCTTGTCATCACCACACTTACTTCTCTTTGGCTCGTGTCCCCCTTTCCCTTCTTAACCACATCCTCCTCCGTGGTCCTGCCCAGCAGGCCTCCATCTCGTGTGGCCATCCTGACGGCTCTGGAAGCCTTCCTGGATGTGGAAGTGGAGGACTCAGTCCTCATGTATTCCTTTCTTGTACAGCGAGTTTTCAGTCTCTATGCACGGTCGTCATTGTTCCCACTGTGGGTTTCTGTGTGCCGAACGGTCAGCTTGCTGAGACACTCAAGCAGGAGTTTGCCTGGGGGCTCCATCAGGCCTTCTGAGGCATTAGAGATGTCCCCACACGTCTGGGCCCCATCACAGAACTCCCGGTCCTCCGTTCCTAATACTGTGTGTCCCTAGCAAGGCTTCCCCAGGTTGTGTCTACATCTTCAGTGGGCATTTTCTACTTGTCCCATTTGAAAGGAACAGGCGTGGGGCCAGTTATGGGCATCTTGACTTCATCCGTGGGCTCTGCTGTGTTTTTGGAGAACGGGAGCGGGAATGTGAGCGCCACCCTAACTGGTGTCTGCTCACGTCGTCGGTGCAGCTGCAGCCTGGTTGTGTCCACGCGGCCAAGCCGTGCCTGAGGCTCCCGGTCCGAATCAGCCTTGTGTACTGGGTTCGAGAATGACAGCTGGCATAAGACGCAGCCCACACTGCAAACAAACCACCTCCAGCATCTGATACTTTCACTGCGCTCACAAGTCTGTATAACCCTGCTGTTCTCTGTTCCCTCCGGCAACCGAATGCACTCATCCAGCTCGTCATGCTCAGTCTCCAGCTTCCTTTTTAACTTTCTGTCATCGCCAATTCCTTGGTACTGCAGTGATGGGGATAAGTCTCCATGGGTCAGGACCACTCTGTGGTGGTGTGTTTTGCATGCCTGTTGTTCCGTGGATATTTGGCCATTAACGTCACAGTACCTCACAGCCACCTGGCCAGCTCAGACAGAGGGGGATGCAGCTCTTGATCTCAGGGTTGTAGGTTCAAGCCCCACATTAGGTGTGGAGATTGCTTAAAAATAAAATCCTTTTTATAAAAAGTCAGTGGAACCCCAGAATAGTGTCCCCCTCCCCATTAGTTAATTTTTGTGGTCTTCCATCTTCAGTGGTCTTCTGAATGTGTGAATCCCCGGATGGCTCTGGACAGAGGCTGGGCTGCTCCTCGGACTTTTATAGACAGGAAAGCTAAATACTTGTTAAATATTTTTAGAGATCATACAGTCAGTAGAGATTAATACTTTATTTTTTTTAATCTCTCCTGACTCTATTTTTTCGAACTCTTCCACTTTTTAAGTTAGTATTTTAAACTTTAATTGACTTTGTTTTTAATAATTGACACTGGTGCTTTTCGCAGCATTTTTAGCAAACTTCATCTTACAAACGTTAATGTCTATTTTTCTGTATATGTTGCTGATCACCACTACTTTTTCCTTGTGGACTTGGGGCCTTTGTTGTGGATTATATGTGCGTGTCAGGATTCAGGCTCAAGAGGCCAAACCTCTACCACATCTTTGGGGATCTGGGGAACAAAGTGTCTGGATGTTTTGTAATGAGATCGTAACCAGATATATCATTGCCTTAAAGGAGTATTAGAGAGGACCGCTTGGGTGGCTCAGTGGGTTAAGTGTCTGCCTTTGGCTCAGGTGATGATCCCGGGGTCCTGGGACTGAGCCCCGCATTGAGCTCCCTGCTAATTGGGGATCCTGCTTCTCCCTCCCTCTCTGCCTGCTGCTCCCCCTGCTTGTGCCCTTTCTCTCTCTGTCAAATAAACAAAATCTTAAAAAAAAAAAAAAAAATAGAAGAGTCTTGGAGGGGAATATAGCAAAGCGATTGTGTGCTCTCTCCCTGAGGACACACGGAGCCCCAGCCCCAGCTCCTGTCCTCCCTTCAGCATTGAGGTTTTCACTCGGAGGTCCACATCGTCAGGGTGCCAGCAGCCGGCCTGCACGCCCGTCGATGGGTTCTGTCATCTCCCCTCTGACATATCCTTGTTTTCCCGCCCTCCAGGTCGTGTTTGTCGCCATCTTACTGCACAGTCACCTGGAATGCAGAGAGCCTCTGCTCATCCCCATCCTGTCCTTGTACATGGGCGCCCTCGTGCGCTGCACCACCCTGTGCCTGGGCTACTACAAGAACATCCACGACATCATCCCCGACCGGAGTGGACCAGAGCTGGGGGTACGGCCTGTCTGTGCATCTGGGGATGGCCCTCTGGGAAATGGGAGACCCATGTGCAAGCCCGTGCCCTGAGATGTCCAGCACCAGGGCACATCCAGAGGCAGACGTGGAGTGGGGGGTGAATGGCCTTGCGAGACGTCACGGTGCAGCCTCCTTGTTTGCCTATCGGGAAACTGAGGCACAGTGGTCAGGTCAGGCTGAGGAGTAGATACGGCAGTTTTGGTTCTTCATACCCTCGGTTGTCAAAAGTAAGTCATTCTGTGTACTCATCAACAAGGAGCTGGGGGCCCACAGCTCCCATTTAACCTTGCATTTGGGTAATTTCTGAGTTCACAGCAGGACCCCAGGCTTTGTTTGTACTTTATACTTTCCACCCTGGCCAGACCCGGTCGCTCATTCGGGCGTCTCCTGTGGCGTGAGCAGAGAGTGTAGCCACCATGGGCAGCACCAAAGTCTGGTCTCTGCCCTCAAGCAGCTGCATTATGTCCCATCCCGTAGATGAGAGCGACACAGAAGCAACAGTTAGATGGGAGCCCAGACAGCACACGGATACAAGAGCCTTGGAGCGCAGGGAGGGAAGACAGTGATGGGGTCTCAGAAGTTCCCCCACCTCCTGGAAGGTGACAGAAGTGGAGTCAGATGCCAGCAGCGTATAAGCCTCCCGAGCACTGTTCCAGCATCAGTGCAAGCAGGATCTGACATGTATATGCTGATCCCTCCCATCGGTACCAGACATCCCTGGGCTTGGTTTCCGTCTAGCTGTGGGGCCGATATGCACGAGTCCACGCAGCCCCGAAGAAGGCCCCACACTCCACCCTCTGATCCCACCTTTGAGCACAGCTTACTCTTGGCATGTCAGAACAATAACTGTATTGACCACTTACCTCGATCCGAGGCGGGCTGTCAATAAAGTCTGATCTAGTTGTTTCCGTCACTAGGACACCCACATCAAAAGGGTCTCGATGGTAACAATCCATCTCTGAACCCTGAGCCGCCAGCAAGGGAGATAAAAGTGGCTGGCATGGTTCCACAATGTGACTCTTACCCTCTAAAGAATCAAAACCGAAGTTAAATCATGAAAGCCAGCCTTTAAAGATTGCACACCTTTTGGTTTTGTAGAATTCTCAATAAATCACCTTTTCTTGACCATGCTTTCATTTTTATGCTTCTGAACATTCACGTGACTTCCATCAGAGCTTTCAGAATAAGAACCTTAGTAATGGATTTATACCTCAATAATTAGGCACATTTGTGACCTGACTGGTTACAGAAATAAATTATAGTAATTTTTTTTTTCACTTCTGAGAGTTAAGTTCAGTTTGGTGATTAAAACAAAAACCAATTTCCAGCCTGTTTTCCAAGCCATGGAATTGTGTTCTTTCTGGGTTAGAAGTGCCCTGTTTGGAAAATAGTGATTTGGATCCATCAAACTTAAACGTGTGCTTTGATTTCACGGTAAATTGCCCGCTGTCTGAGTTAATTTCTAATAACACTGTACGTTTTATTTTAATTTGAATTGGCTTGGCTACAGAGGCTTTTCCTTGTATTATTTTTAAGTACAATGAATTGACTCATTATTGACATCAAAAGGAAAAGCCTTGGCTCCGAATTGTTTTTTCTGTTCTGTTTCTAGAATGTAGTGAATTTGTATCTCCATTTCTTGACACAGGGAGATGCAACCATAAGAAAGATGCTGAGCTTCTGGTGGCCTTTGGCGCTCATCTTGGCCACACAGAGGATCAGTAGGCCGATCGTCAACCTCTTTGTTTCCCGGGACCTTGGTGGTAGTTCCGCAGCTACTGAGGTAGGGTGGTTTCTAGGGATGGGGGCACTTGTGGTCACCTTTTAAAGAATGGGGGTAGGGGTAGGGAAGTGGACACAGACTTGTTTCCAATTCATCTGGAGAGCTCAGGTAATTCTGTGGTATCATAATGGACGACCCATTCACACTCAGAAGCCAAGAGGCTCTTAGAATCGTGGGACTGTTTACTTCTATGAATATGGAAGAAAACATCTCCTTCATCCTTCTTGTTGACCAGATCTGAGGCATGGGCACAAGGCTAAGGGTGCAAAACTAGCAAGAAGCCGGGCTGGTCGAGGAATCCAGATTTTTCTGACTCCCATCCAGTGGCCTTTCCATTTTCCTGTGGAGTCAGCGTGATGCCAACATTGTGGTGGCCAGAGACCACGGACTCTGCCGTGTAGCAGCAGACATGACCAGGCCCAGACCGTGAGGCCCAGGTCCCCCATTCCGACCCAGCCCGCTCTCACCTGTTCCTGCCCCGCCTTCCTGCAGTACGCCCCTCCCCCCACACCCCGGGCCCATCGTGGCTCTCTGAGCTCTTTGGCAGTCCGCCCTCCCCCAAATGAGGATCTCCATTATTTACTCACTCGCAGCTCAAGAAATTTATCTGGAAACTGGCAGCTACTCCAAAGAAAGTGTTGAATCATTTTTTCCATCTTTCAAGTATGGTATGAACAAATCAAGTTACTTCATTTGTCTCCTCCTCCGCTGCCCTCTGGAGACTTGATTCTGTCTCTGGAACTGCTGATCCTTCAGGAAGGCTGGTGGCTGCTCATTAGGGCCTTCTCTTTCCACGTCGCCCTTGAATGAGCCGTCGGCGTGTCTCCAGCCTGGGATCTCCTGCCAGTTTCCATGTCCTGGGAAGCAGCTCATGTGGGCTTGGAAAGGGACGCACATAAATCACAAGCAGGACGCTTTCTCCTGCCTCACTTTGTTCTTGGACTTTGTGTTTTGGATCACGAAGTTCATCTTGGGTGGCTCTTACAACCCAACAGCTTTTTCAGTTAACACCAACAGTTTAAGTTGCTCAGAAAAAAAAGTATGTGACCCTCATCACTTGTGTGCTGGAATTCCATCTTCCCCTTTGAATAAAAGAAAAAAGAAAAGAAAAACCAAGGTAAATGACGTCAGTGGCATAGAGACGCAGTGTGTAGGGTACAGAACAGACATGTATTGACCATCTGCTGCATGTCCGCCATTTATGCACATTTCAGGGACTCCCAGCAAACCTTTGTGATGGATCTCATCATTCCCGTGGTTCTGCTGGAGGAACAGAAAGGGAGGTCTGAGAGGGTCCCTGCTTCACACAGCTGGAAGGTGACCAAGGGAAGGTTTGGGTCCACACAGTAGTGTCTTTGCCCAGCTGGGGACTTACCCCATGTTCCAGGCATGACTGTAATGTTAATGAAAATAGATGAAGCCTGTACTTCTCCTTTACTAGCTAGTTAGAGTTGAACTCTGCCAAAATGTAGGGTTTGATGCTTTGTTTTCACTCTCCTTCCTTTTCATTCGCATAAGAAGATAAACTCTCATTTTCACGGAAGGATATGTTTGGTTTCCACAAGAAAGATTTCTTTAGTTTTCTTAAATTAAAAATCAAAATTGGGCTATTCTGGCCAGACAGATTAAAAGTAAGTTGAGTTGGAAGGAGAAAACCATAAAGCCACCAACTAGCGCCTACTGCCGGCCACCCAGAAGGACAGGATGGAGGCCTAGACGTGGACCCTAAGCAAAGACTATCTGGAGAGCAGAAAGGGCTCAAAATTGCATTTTGGGACTCCAGAACTGGGCTAGACTGGAGGGCTCCATTTGGCTCAATGGAAAGAGAAAGGTCTGGTGGGCCTGGGTTCAAATCGTAGCATGTCCAGCCAACGCCCAGGCTCTCGATCCCCCTCCCATCTGTGGCTGCAGTGGAGCATCTGTCTCTCTCCATTCCCCCAGTCCCGCCTGTGGCTGGCCAGCGCTTCTCACCCAGTGTGGAGTGATCCGTCTGTGGTGGCCGCACCGAGACTGCTCCCTCTGGCCTGTGGCAAGAGCAGCTACTGGAGATGCTCTCTGGGACGCCGACACTAATGGCTGGCTCCTTCTCTTGTAGGCAGTGGCAATTTTGACAGCCACATACCCTGTGGGTCACATGCCATATGGCTGGTTGACGGAAATCCGTGCTGTCTACCCGGCTTTTGACAAGGTGAGCACCTGTACTGCGCGGTGTCTGAAATACTCTCTTTAAAATTGGCCTTTGATAGGTGTCTCCGATGAAGAACACCTTGATATTTTCCAGTCTCATCTCCCTCTGTAAGGTGAACGTGGTGTGGGGGGTGTCAGGCGTCATTAAGGAATATTTCCCTCAGAAAATAACAGAAGTCGTGAAGCTTACTTTCATGCCAATCCTCTGATGCCCTCCAAACGATATTCACTTATAGGTAATTCTGATTAAGAAATTATTAATTTTTTTACAAAGGGAAAATATACTCTCAAAAAAGTTTATTACATTGGATTTTGTTTCTGTGGTTTGTTTTTTTTTTTTAATTAAATGAATGCTTTGCTGACCTCATAGCAAATGTGAAGGTACAGACAGGATTGAGCCCTTGAGGTCCTAAGCTTCTGTCTGGGTGTTTTTCGGTATACGCAGTGTCCATGACCCCCGAAGCTGTCCGTGCAGTGGCCCGGGTCCAGGTTGCTTTGGATGCAGCGGACTTATTCCAGCTGAAAGCCTCTGTTAACCGCAGCTCTGTCCCCCCACAGCTGCTTGCACACAACCCTTCAGGCTTGTAGCCTGTGGCTGGGTCAGCACTGTCCTACCAATCATTGAATTAATGTCTTTTTCATTAAAGCTTAATGACTTGAACCTTTAGACATTTATAGCAAAACATAAGCCCCAAAGATAGTGTACAATTTTTTTAAAGATTTATTTGTTTATTTGAGAGAGAGAGAAAGAGCATGAGCGAGCAGGAGGCAGGGGCAGAGGGAGAAGGAGAGAGAAACTCAAGCAGACTCTGTAGTGAGTACAGAGGTCAACACAGGGCTCGAACTCACGACCTGAGACCATGACCTGAGCCAAAACTAAGAGTCAGACACTTAACTGACTGTGCCACCTGGTGCTCCTATACAATGTTTTAAAATGAAAAATAAGGGGGCGCCTGGGTGGCTCAGTCAGTTAAGCGTCTGCCTTCGGCTCAGGTCATGATCTCAGGGTCCTGGGATCGAGTCCCGCGTCAGGCTCCCTGCTCAGTAGGGAGTCTGCTTCTCCCCCTCCCTCCGCCCCTCCCCACTGCTTGTGCTATCTCTCTCAAATAAAAAAATAAAATCGTTTTAAAAATACAGTGAAATGAAAACTAGGAAAGAAGCACACTCCTGCACTTGTATTTTTCACACCAACCCTTTTGCCTTGAATTTCTGTAGAACCAGCTCAGAGCCATTGCTGGTAACATTTTATCTGATCCCAACAAGAACCCTGGGATGTGAGGAGAGGAGGCCTCTTTGCTAGGGACCCCAGCAGATGAGCTCTGGCTGCTCGGGCAGCGTGGGTTCTGGCTGGCTGAGGCTGGGCTCCCTCCGCGCCCCACTCCCACCCACTGCCAGACCCGAGTGGGCATCGGGAAGCCCGGGAAGCCCACAAAGCAAGGCCCAGCCACGGGCCGTAAGCTGCGCTCTCTCTTCACATGGCATCCGGCTTCTCAAATGTGTGGTTGTCTGTGGGCTTCTGGAAGAGGGCATAGCCTGTGGCGTGGAGCCCCAGAGAGGTTTCCTCTGCACCTTGCGCCCTGAGCCAGGGCACTCCCCAGCAGACTTTTCTCCTGGCGGTCCCTGTTTGCGTGAGTTTAACCCAATCTATGAACAAACGTCGCTGTTTTCCTTTTAAGGAACATGAATATAGAAGTAAATCCTAGAAAACCGAGATGGATATACGTCTTTTTGCTAAATTTCTAGCTCTTGGAGAACCAGATTATATAATAAACCTAGAGGAGAACAGCAGGTACTAAATATTAGAAACTCCTGGCTGGGAAAGTCTCATCTGGAATGTTTTTGGCTACCTTGAAATAATACCACTTAACAATAGCAATACAGCACTGTACGGTTTCACTGGGAGCATCCAAGAAAAACTTGGTTTTGTCCGTGATCACAGGGGTTAGGTGCTGTGAAGCAATCCCCGTAGCGACCGCACCTCTCGCCAGCAACTGCAGTCACTCAGAATCCTTCTGGAGCCTCCCTCTTTGTTTCCGGGCATTCCAGGGAGCGCCTCCGAGGCGTCCGTGTGAATGTTGTCTATTCACTCAAATCTGAGACAACCTCTGTGCGGACTTGCAGAGTTGGCTGCGTTGACAATGGAAATCCTAGCCTCTTTGTGCTTTCCAGAATAAGGGATTTGACATTTCTTGCATAACTTCTGACGGCTCTCGCTAAATATCCACCGGGAGCATTTTGCACTCGTACACAATCTCTCTGACGTTCAGTTATCATCTGCAGAAGAGTCTGCGTCTAAGCGCATCGGGCAAACAAAGTGAAACACACTTGCCAATCTAACGATACGCACTCGTTCATTCCAAACCTGCTGCCGGAAATAGGCACTGTTTTTGAAATGAAAGCACACCTGGGGCTCTCTGGCACCCTGCTGTCCCACCACGGGTGACACAGGTGATGCACCGATGTCCCACCACAGGTGACACGTGGGGCATGCCGCTGTCCCACCACAGGTGACACGTGGGGCACATGCCTCTGTCCCACCACAGGTGACACGTGTGGTACCCTGCTGTTCCATCACAGGTGACATGAGTGCTTTGAGGTTGTTGGATTCTTTGGGGTGAGCCCCCCCAGGCACCTCTCTCGCGGGTCCCCCAGGGCCGCACCCACTGTGACTTGCACTTCAGTGTAGCAGCCGAATCTGTTACTCAGAAAAGCAGATCCACTTTAGAGGCTGGACTTAGGAAAACATAGGCTCGACCAGACGTTTGTGCTGGAGGCATCATGGGGAAGGGATGTGAGAGATCTCCGGCTGCCTCCAAAGGGAAGGAGCTGTCAGAAGCTCTTTTTCGAGTGGAACCTGTCTGCGCTCTGCCTCTGTGTCTTTTGTTGAGCGAGACGCAAGCCACGTGCTGGGGGCTGGCTTCTTCCGGTCACCTCTGGGACTGACTGGATCCGAATGGAGGTGGGGGGCTCTTTCCTCCACTGGTTTTCATGGCGAGGGACCAGACACTTGTCTGATCAGGTGGTGGCCATGCTTCACGGTGGCACTGGGATGGTCTCAGGAAGCCTCGGGAATACGCAAGAGGACATTTGAGCTGTCCGCGCTCTTTGCTTAAAATTAAGCATTAACAGAGATGGGCACCTTCTCTACTCAAGAAAGATCGTGCTAAGTGGCAGGAGGGAAAGAGTAGGGTGAGGGGCACAATCCTTTTTCCCAGAGAGCCAGTGCCTACCTCACAGGCTTCCATGCCGGCCCCCCGAATACATACCCACGCCCAGAGAGTTCTCGGGTTGACCAGCACTCCAGCAAGCGGGATCCCAGGGCAGTTAGGAGTAAAAGGTCAGAGAGGCTTTCAGAAACAGATGGGCTGTGCCACTGACATGCCCTCAAAAGGGGGCTTTGAAAATTAGAAGATCCAACGGGACAAGGAGGAGCAAAAGCACGAAACAGGAAAACACCACATGTGTTAGGGGCAGAGCAAGAGCTTCTGTCTGGAATCCGAGGGGGATAGTCAGTGTCAGGGCAAGCAGGACTGAGAATGCCCACCCGTCCTTCTGGTCCGCTGGTGGGGAGGACGGGGCCCCAGAGGGGAGCTGTGGCTTTGAGGAGATGCCAGGTGACCAAGAGGGGCCACACGGGTTGGGACCCTAGGCTAGGCTGGGTGGGGGCCCGGTGACAAGGGGAGCGCACATTCAGGAGAACCTGCCCGGTGTCCATCTGTAACTCCCTCCGGTTCATGTTCACGTCCAGCAACCTGACCGATGCCTGAGAGAGACAAAGTGACAGCCATTCCCAGCTGTCAGGGGACATCTATACCTCAGACGCATCAAATAAAACTGAAACAAGACGTTCTTCAAGTGGCATGTGTGGTCAGCTGAAGGTAACCCTGTCCTCTTCTTTCCCCCTAGAATAACCCCAGCAATAAACTGGTGAGCACTAGCAACACCGTGACCGCGGCCCACATCAAGAAGTTCACATTTGTCTGCATGGCCTTATCACTCACGGTAAGGGGAGACACTGACAACACCATACCCCCCACCGGCATTGTTTTTGGGAAAGGGGAATGGACATTTTAAAGGGAGGACTGTTGTGTTCCATACCTATGATGCTATATGGAATTAATTAACAACCCAAAATATGAACAGTAGTTCCTTAGGGAGGTCATTGAATCTAGGAATAAAGGGTAGACTTCTGGCAGTTCTGGGGACTTCTAACATGCTGAAAAAAGGCAGACTTTGCCTCTTGTTTTAATAATAATCTTGTCTTACTGAATAACTTCTGATTCCGTTTTCAGCATTCAGAGTCAAGTGTATAAACATCCCTTACCCTCTTCCAAATTTAGTTGGTGTTACTTGAGTTAGCGCAGTAGAAGTTCCTCTCCCCATCCCACTTACACTGCTTCTGTCTGCTTGCCTGTCAAGATCCCAGGCCCTGGGTCATTCTCGTGGACATAGCCGTGGACCCCCGCGGACAGCCCCACACTCTGTGCACAGCCTACATGTCCTTTATCCATCCCCATGGGTAATTTCAATGTAAAAGATACTGTTCAAAATATGTACATGGTCGATAGCCCAAAGCACATGGTATATAATTTAAGGTTGTTTATAGCAGCAAAACAGAAAGAAAGAAAAGCACTTTTATGAACAAACTTACATTGTAGACCATGCCCTTTGAGTTCTAAAGGTGGAGATGACAAGGAGGTAAAAAGAAATGCAGGTCTTTTTTTTTTTTTTTTTAAAGATTTTATTTATTTAGAGCGGGGCATGGGCAGGGTTGCAGAGAGAGAAAAAAACTCCCAGACTCCAGCTGAGCATGGCATCCAATGACTTGGGGCTCGAGCTCATGACCCTGAGATCGTGACCTGAGCCAAAATCAAGAGTCAGAGGTCCAATCAACTAAGCGACCGCAGGTGCCCCAAAATGCAGGTCTTTTGAACTCAGCCCAGTCTTCCTCTTTGTTGTTGGGCTCTGCAGTTCTTCCTAAGTCTTGTAGAAATTCTCCATTTATAAAGTACAAGTATGTTCCGGAAATGCCAGGGGTGCACAACTCTCGTCATCGATGACCAGGGCAGAAGGGCTGGTTACGCTGATGAGAGGAACATGGTGACTCTGGCCCCTCTTCCTTTCATCACAAGAACTATTGGCTTGATGAGCCCTGATGGTGGTCCTTATTTATCATCGAGCCCTAAGCACGTTTTAAACCTTTGATGGATATTTTTCCAAAGCCCATGACTTAATCTTTGATCCACGGATCCTACGCCTGAATAGATTGTAACAAAGGCAACATGAGACTAATAGCTGGTCACGTCACCCATCGTGACCTTGTGTCCTCAGCGGCCCCTTCTCCCCAACCTGCCCCTCCTGCCAGTCCCTTCCTCCTGACTCTGCTGGAGGAGGCGGGGGAAGGGCCGTCAGGAGCACCTTCCCATGCCACCTCGCCCAGGAGGAATTCCCAGTAGCCCGCCTGTGTCGTCGGGACAGGTTACCCCAGGAAACCCTGCTCCCCTATTTGTGTTACTTCTCTATGGTGTGCAAGTTTTTCCATAGTTCTCTAAAATATTAGGAAAACAGTGAGCAGCCTTGAAACTGTTTAAAAGAGTATTTTAGAAAAAGCCGAGAAGGTTTCTATTCCAGGAACAGACCTCAGCTTTTGGAGACGATGAGAAATGATTGGAAGTCAAAAGTTGAGTTGAACCAAATGCCAGGTTCTGTGACTTGGCCCTCATCCCTCACTGAGTGCCAGTAGCTTTTAGTTGTCACTGGCTCGGCGATCCGGGTCTGACCTCCTCTGTCTCCTCTCACTCCGCTTAAACATCTTGCCCGCCTACAGCTGAGTCGGATGGAGAACTCCACCAGCCTGGGTTTGAGGCTGTTTCTTCTCTGGTCTGGTGCGCGGGCAATAATCTGTCACTCTGAGACAAGCAACTGGTTTATTTCTGAAATGGTGATGATTTAGAAAAATGCCTAGATTTCCCAGGTGAAGATTTTATTTATTTCATTATTCTAATCCCGTCCTCCTTCCTGTAACTGGAGTGTGTCAGGTTAGATTTTCCCCATAGAAATGGAGACTCAGAGTCCTTCATTGGAAAGAAACTTGGAGACAAGCGAGCCAAAACCCTTCCTTTTTTAGAAGGGGAAGGGACTCAGAGAGCCTTAGTGACCCACCCGAGCACCTGGAACGGATCCTGCCAGAAGCCAGCCTCCAGGCCCGCTCTCCGGGCCCTTTTGTCCCTACAGTGAAGTTTTCAGCAGGTAGGAACTGCTCTCTGGCCCTGCGCCTCCAGACGTGGGCGTCATGCTTGAAATGGCGGTTTCTTTAACACAAAAAAACAGGAGTATTTGAGTTTGCTGCTCATGAAGTGTTTCACATATGTTATGCTTACAGTGGTTCAGTCTATTGGTCCAACATCTTAGCCACAGGAATTGACCTTAAAAGACATAGAGGAAAAGTAAGCAACTTTTTTTTTAAGATTTCATTTATTTATTTGAGAGAGAGAGCATGAGAGAGAGCTTGAGCAGGGGGAGGGGCAGGGGAAGAGGGAGAAGCAGACTCCCCGCTGAGCAGGGAGCCCTGCATGAGGCTCAAACCCAGGACTCTGGGATCATGACCTGAGCCGAAGGCAGACGCTTCACCGACGGAGCCACCCAGACGCCCCCGTAAGCGACTTTTTTAAATTGGAGTACAACTGACACACAGTGTTACATTAGTTTCAGGTGTAGGGTTGGTTTCTGGTTTCTCTTTCCTAAATTAAATGTTAAGCTGTCACTATAATGTGTACATTCCTTTTTGTAGCACTTTCTGTATTCAGTCTTCACATCTGTCGCTCCTCGTAGGCTCTGAAGTGCCCACGTCGGGTGTGCGACGTAGCCACCTTCCACCCCCAGGGCCGAGTGTCCTGTCTGACAAAGGAGGTGCTCAATAAACCGCCACTTGAGACTCACCTCTGAGTCAAAGGTACTGAAGGCACCCACCCCGGTGAACGACAGTCTCCTGATTTGCCCTCAGTTTATCCGACTTTTAAAGCTTTTAAGAGGTCCTTTCTTCTCAAGTCCATTTTTGTTTTGTTTTAAAGATTTTATTTATTTGACAGAGAGAGGTACAGTAAGAGCAGGAACACAAGCAGGGGAAGTGAGAGAAGGAGAAGCAGGCATCCCACTAAGAAGAGGGCCCGATGCGGGGCTCGATCCCAGGACCCTGGGATCATGACCTGAGCTGAAGGCAGATGCTTAACAACTGAGCCACCCAGGCGCCCCCCATTTTTGTTTTTTTTTTCTAACTTTAAAACTTCTTAGTGCTAGGGAACTAACATCACAGAGGCCACCGAAATACTCAAGAGCAGTGCACATTGTGTTTATTCCAGTGGATGAGGTTACATACAGTCTCTGAGCTTTCTGATGGTTCCAGAACCTTCTGTACATCACCTGGGATCAGAGCCCTCTCTGGGGCTCTGCTTCTGTGGGCTCGCTGGCTCTTCTCGGGTCTTTGAGAAGAGCTGACTCCAGAGGTTCTGCAGACACTCAGTGACCCAGGGACGCTGCCTGTTTTTCAAGAGAAAATGTATGCTGTCTAGAATAAAAAAAAATCCATCTTGCCATCAGAGTGGGCTCACTCTTGGAGCCCTGACATTTTGGGGGTCAACATCCACCTTGGCCTGTGAAAAATACGGCTGTGTCACCTTTGACGCTTAATAAGACACTAATATTCCAGTATGCTACAATGCACATCGTTATTCACACCCTAGTGTGGATTCGCAGTGTAGTTCAGAGTTTCTATCCTACTCCAAAAGTGGGTTCTGCCTCATGCTCTTATCTGGGAGTGTTCCTTCACGGAAGGCAGCAAACGTCCGTGAAGAGGGATTGAAGAGGTGGGTAGAGTTGAAAAGGACAAATATTCTGGAAGCATCTTCCTTTCGGCCCCTCGGAGCTGCCTTCAGGAGGAAGCGCTCATGGTCCTGTTTGATGGCAGGGAGGGTGAGGGAAGGGGGAGCTTTAGACCCTCCAAGAGATGAGCTTCAAAATGGTAGAACTGTCAGGTCAACAGTGTCCCCTCCGTGGCAGCAAAGGAGCAGACATGATGCAAACCGTGTTAGTAAGGTGACTAGCTTTTTGCTGTTTGGGGTAAAGGAACACACGGCCTGGAAACGTCCACAGCTTAAGGCAATTTGGAAGAAAGACTTTGGATAGTGGGCTGCATTGCGAGAGCTTGTGGCGCAGTGGCTGCGCGGAAGAGGGCACATGGCAGAGCAGCCATCAGCCATGCCCACAGCAAGGCTGAGCCGGTGCTGGGATCTGAACCAGTGGCTGGTTGTACCCCGAACCTTCTGCTAGAGCCTGGGTCTCCATCACTTCTGTGACTGACCGTGAAGCCCAGTGATAATCACTATGTCCTAAAGGCTGTTGCTCTAGCAGAAAACCATGGGGAACACAAGCTGGAGGAGGTGGTGATGAGCTTGCAGTCAGGAAGCGGGAACAGCATTCTTTCCTCTTGGGGAAAGGCACTGGTAATACCAAACATGCAGAAACTCACCCTCTTATTAGCTAGCCCCTCTAGATTTACCCTGAGTCCTTCCCGGGTTCTAGATTTAGGGGTAAAATAGGAACCGCTAAACAGGGTAGGATGTGTCTTCTCAACAATCCTTTTGATATATAGACAATGGACTTGGATTCCTGGGTGCTAGGCCAGTTTGGTGCCAGTGGATTGACTTGCTAAATTTATCAAACTGCCAATCTACTCCAGATATTTTCTTTACCTATTTCTTTTTTTTTTTTTAATTTATTTGACATAGAGAGATCACAAGTAGGCAGAGGCAGGCAGAGAGAGAGGGGGAAGCAGGCTCCCTGCTGAGCAGAGAGCATGATGTGGGGCTTGATCCCAGGACCCTGAGATCATGACCTGACCCAAAGGCAGAGGGTTAACCCACTGAGCCACCCAGGCGCCCTTCTTTACCTATTTCTAAAGTTCATAGCCAATCAAATTAAATGGAGAAGTCTTAACATCTTTGGGT